ATCTCTTAATTTCCTGGCTGCCGGTACCAAGAGCATTGACTGTGGAGCCAAACAAACTAAAGAAAATGTCAGAGTAGTGTAATTAAACTTACAGTCTATTTCGTTGCATTTTATCCCCCACAATGGCCAGGAAAGCAGGCCCTGTCTGGATCTATCACATGTAGTGATTCAACTTGTTTGGGCACATTGGTTAGAAAGCAAAAGAATTAAACATTAATGACATACTCTTCTTTATATTACTTTAGATATTTCTGTATTCATTCCATTTTTTCTAGCATTAATACTACTCAATGCCTGTCTTTAATATGTGGAAAGCAGAATTTAACTGAAAAAAAAAAAGACAATTCTTGGCAACTATTGTTGTGTACTGTCAAGTTGGAACCGACCCATAGATGACCCTCCGGCAGGTTTTCAGAGGCAGTTAATCCCATGGGAGGAGATAGCCCATCTTTCTCCTGCAGAGCAGCTGGTGGATTCAAACTGCTCACCTTCCGGATTGCAGCACAACTTCTAGCCAATTGGCCCCTGGAGTTTATCAGCTTTTGCATAGTCCAAATATAATACATGCATTTTTACATGTTTATGTTTAGTATGTCTATACTGTCTTAAATTTAATTTTATTACTATACTAGTTTATTTAAAACATTTGAATACCTTGTTTTCCAGAACAGATTCTTGCAATTTCCTTTCCCCCACCCATCAGATTGTACAACCACATGATTAAACCCCCTCCCCCTGCACTTTTTAAAACATAAAATTTCAAATGCATTATTCACATTTTGACATATCTTCAAAACTATTAAATGACTAAGTGGATGAACTATCCTTAATTAATTATATTTTGCTCTTGGATAATTACTCACCCCAACTTTTTACTAACCTATATTCTTTTTAAACTAAAATATTATAAATATAATGAAAGTGACAAAAGGCATTTTAGGAATATAGTCATGCACTTACCACCCCCCTTTACCACCGGTTGAGCCCTTTGTCTTCAAATGACTCCTACCTGTCTGACCTGCTGTATTTTTCATTTTGTGAGAACTGAAGTGGCTTCTGTGGTCAGAATCTTGCTGTGTTATCAAAGCTTACGTTGAACTAGAGGAAAATGAGACTGTATATCAGGCAACTAGGAACAGGATTTTGTAGCGTTGGGGACTGTATCATTTTGATGGGAGAGGATACAGGTGCAAAATCGTATTTGGTGAAATTAATCTGCTCTGCTCCCTGCCAGGTTTTATGACGGTTCGCAGCCCGTGATCGCCATCACAGACCCAAACACCATCAAGACGATCTGGGTGAAAGAATGCTATTCCATCTTCACGAACCGGAGGGTAGGTAGAAGGTCTTCATTAACATGTATTTACATATTCATTCTAAATTAGAAACAATTGTGGATCCACAGAAAGTTTGAAACATACACCTCCCTCCCCAAACACATGCTGGAGGAAAGCTCATGTATCCTTCTTCCTGATCTCTCAATGGTAAGATCTTGTCTAACCCCCTTATCTACTACTTGTCTATCAATAGGTCGTATTGTGATGTTTGACATGTTGCTTTGATGTTGGAAGCGATGCCCTGGCATTTGACATATCAACAGGGTGGACACATTTCAACAGAACTTCTACCAAGACAGCCTAGGAAGAAGGACTGGTTACCTACTTCTGAAATAATCTGCCACTGAAAACCTTAAGAATAGGTTCATTGACGGTAGATGACTCATAGCGACCCTATGAATTAAAGACCTGAACACTTGTATAACTTTCATAGTTTCTCCAAGTTCACAGGGTTTCCTGAGGCAAGTTATTTCAGAAGTGGATGGCACTCCTGCTTCCAAGCTTGTTTTAACGTTTTAGAAATAAAAGTGAAAACTAGAAACTAGGAGAAGAAAATGGACAGGAATAACAGCTTACCACCACCTCCATCCACAACCAAACACCCTAAAAGCAATGCTTGAGGAAATGAACTCCAAGTTCTGAGAAAACGTCAAGACTAGAGACCCTTTATTCATTCTGGAATCTTTTCGAAATAGAAACTTTTTTCAGATTGTTTAAATTGATAACATATCTTCTGAACCAGAGACCATTCTATTTCTCCCTTTCCAGTATCGTTTTTTTCTTCTTATCTTAGTACACTAGCTTAGACTTCTGTTAAGATGTTGACTATGAGTGATATCTTTTAGTGTAATTTTTAAAAAGTAAGTTTTATATTGGCTTATTTACAAAGCTCAAATGCATTGTTTTTCATTTTTCACACTGGATCTTTCCCATTTCCTTCACCCCCAAACCCCCATCAAATTGTACGACTCTATGAACACTCACCCCTGCCCATCCTCAATCCTCTCCCCCTTGGATAATCACACTCATTCTACAATAATGGTCTTATACAATATTTGTCCTTATGGGACTGAGTTACTTCACTTATCATAATGCTCTCCAGGCTCTCCCAAGTTAGGCAGTAATTTACAAAATCATTGCTCCTGCGTGCTGCGTAGTAGTCCATTGTGTGAATGTACCATCATTTCTTAATCCAGTCCATTGTGGTTGAACATTTGGGCTGTTTCCACATTCTTGCGATGGTGAATAATGCTGTTATGAACATTGGTGTAAAAGCCTCTGTTTGTGCCTCAGTTCTCATTTTCTCCGGGTTTATTTCAAGTAGAGAATAGCTGGGTCATATGGAATTTCTATGTTCAGCTTTTTGAGGAAGCACCAAACTGCCTTCCAGAGTGGTTGTACCATTCATTTTACAATCCCTCCAACAATGTATAAGCGTTCCTATCTCTCCAACATCCTCTCCAGCATTTACGACTTGCTGTCCTGTTAAACTTTGCAACTGCTACTGGAGTGAGATGGTATCCATTGTAGTTTTGAATTGCATCTCTCTGATTGCAAATGATTTCTAGCATTTCTTCATGTGGCTGTTGGCCTTCCAAATACCTTCCTCTGTGAAAATTCTTTCCGTGTCTTTTGCCCATTTTGTGATTGAATTATCAGTCTTTTTCTTATGGAGGCCCTGCCCTGTAGGATTCTGTAAATTTTTGCTATGAGACCTTTGTCTGAGATGGTATTGTTAAATGATTTTTCCCAGTCAGATTTCTGGTCTGAGCCGGAGACGTCTATGTCAATTCTTTTCTAATTTTTGACAAGTTTGGAGATTGTGCTGGGTCTAATGTCCTTCCATCTCCACAGAAAAAAGACTTTGTGTACCTTTGCATTTGAAAGGAGGTTGGCATGTAAAGCCTGGAGATCCCCTCAGGTGGGAGTGTCCACTGTCACAGAGAACATCTGAGATGGGAACTGGGTGAACATGGACCCTAACATTTGGGACCTCAAGAAGAGGCTTCCATAGGGGAGCTCTGGTGGCCTAGTGGCAAGGAGCTGCAACTACAATCCCAGAGGCACACGGTTCAAATCCACCAGATGCTCTGCCGGGAAAGGAGGGACAATCTCCTCCTGTACCAGTCAGATCTGATTTGACGGTACACTCACACAAAAATAATAAAATAAAATTATATAAAAAAGAAGAGGCTTCCAGTATATTCAGAGTAAATGGTGTCTGTTCAAAAATATTTTCATTAACTGTGGAGGCCTCTGGAACTTACTGAGGGTAAAATATCTTTTGCTTTTAATTTCAGGCTTTTGGTCCTGTGGGATTCATGAAATCTGCTGTTTCTGTGGCTGAAGATGAAGAGTGGAAGAGGATGCGAACGTTGCTGTCTCCGACCTTCACCAGTGGAAAACTCAAGGAGGTCAGAAAATAGGAAGATCACTAATTAGACACGTCAGTAACCAACCTAGGAATCAGTTGAAAGTGGGGCCCTTTACAAGAGGTGGTAGGCAGAGTTAGAACCGTCTAAAAGTGACCTTTCTAGTGAAGTCCTAGAAGAGACGATGAAAGATTATGATCAAATGTAATCTTGCTCCCGTTTGGAAAAGCCAAGTCTTTTCTGTCTTGAGTCTCTGTGTTTACTGACGGCTGGTGGGGCTGTGTTTTGTGTTTAGATGTTCCCCATCCTCCGCCAGTATGGAGAAGTAATGGTGAAGCATCTGAGGGAAAAAACAGAGAAGGGCCAACCTGTCGAGCTGAAAAGGTAGGTAGGTGTGTGGTGGCCGGGGTTCTGAGCGCCATCAGAAGGTCCTCCAGCTGGCTTCCACTCGGTGAAATTCCCCAAGTTTATTTAGTAATACACATACAAGTGTGTGATATTAAACCCCAATGGACTACCCCAACAATGGGGGCTCACCCCAAAGGGTAGGTGGCGAAGGAAGGCAGAGAGAAACCGTCTTGTCTGCAGTATCACCAAATGGTATTTTCTAGAAAACAAAACTTGTGATGAATAAACATAATTGATAGAATTGAGTGTAGAAGATTTGGAGAGGGTGAACTGAAAAGATATTTAGCACTTATTGGTGCACGTTGGTTGAAATGAGTCAGTTCAAATGTAGACCTTGGAACAACCAGGTGATTCATGGTTTTATCTGCTGATACTGAGGAAACGTGACACCCCTCACCTGTGGTGCTGGAGGCGAGGACCTAGTATCCCAGGGAACGCCCAAACAACAAACAGCTGTCTTGGAAAAAGTACAGCCGGGGTGCTTGTTAGAGGCAAGCATGACGAAGCTTCATCTCCCACACTTTAGACGTGTTGCTGGGAGAGGCAAGTCCTTGGAAAGGGACGTCATGCTTGGAAAGGTAGAGAGGCAGCTGAAGAGAGGAAACCCTCAGTGACTGGATCGACGCAGTGAATGCAGACGCGGGGTCAAGGGTGTGAGGATGGTGAGGACAGGACCCCTCAGTGAGCTGGGTGGACAGTGACCACAGCAGTGGATCAGGGTGTGAGGATGGTGAGGACGGCTCAGGTGAACACGGCTCAGGTCAGCTGTTAACAGGGTCACTACGAGTCCTACCCGCCTGAGTGGCACCTAACAACTCCTATGGAGAATACAAGCAAAATGCTCTGTACTTATTATTTGTCTACTGTGAATATAAATACTGGGAGGAGGTAAGATCTTTGTGGCTCTTGCTGAGAAAACTTCTTCAGTATTGTTCTAGCACTGCCGTGTTCCTCACTTAAAACTCCCTGCTCTCAGAATCCCCGCCACGGTTCCAGGAGCCCACCTGGGCCAAGCTCAGGGACAGTGACAGCTGCACCACTGTCACCTGATAAACGCTTTCCAAGTGAGTGTGATGGACACACAGACCCTCAGGCTGACCCGGGAGTTGATTCTAAGAACTTGCAGCTTTCCCCTTTGTCTTTCATATGAATTTACACACCTTTCCGACTGAGGGGGCTGCAGAGGGACGATGAGGAGAAGCGGATCCTGAATGTCTGTGTCCTTCTTTCTCTGCGTAGCCTCTTCGGGGCCTACAGCATGGATGTGATCACCAGCACGTCGTTTGGCGTCAACGTCGATTCCCTCAACAACCCAGAAGATCCCTTTGTGCAAAATGTCAAGAAGCTCATAAAATTTGATTTCCTGGACCCATTACTTTTCACAATAAGTATGTGGATTGCTATTTTTTTCCATAGCACTTTTATTGAGATACAAATCCCGTGCTGTAATACGGACTCATTTGAAGTGTTCAGTTGAGAGGTTTTACAGATATATGCAGCTACCAGTGGTAATATTTAGAATATTTTCATCAAGAAGAAATTTTGTACCCCATAGCTGTAAGTTTAGTCTCAGATTTTTCTTGCTCAGATTTTTCTTTTTAAAATAACAAGTGTTTTATTTAAGCTTATTCAGATTAAATGCTTCTTAGTTTTTCAGCCTTTCTCTAAATTTGTGTGGCTCAGTGGTAAGAAGCTGTGCTGCAATCCCAAGGGCATGTGGTTTTAATTCACCAGCTACTCCAACAATTTACTGCCTTTAAAAACCCATTGGTGGGTCGGTTACGAGTCACTTCCTACTCGATGGCAGATAACAACAATAAGTAATCCGTAGTATACCATTACACGCTTTTAAATTTCTGTAATGTTAGTGTTAACCTCTTCTTTTTCTTGTATGATGCCAGTAATTAAACTCTCCCCTCTTTTTCTTGGTTAATTTGCTATCCTTCTTCATCTTTTAAAAGAACGATCTTTTGGTTTCACTGACTCGTCTGTTGACTGTCTCACGAATACTTTCTCCAGTCTTATTATGTCCTTTCTCTACTTTTTTCAGTGTGTACTTTGCTCTTCTTCCCAGGAACAGAGTAGAAAATTAGGTTATTGATTAAGATTTTCCTCATTTTAAAAACAGGCATTTACAGATGCCATTTTTAGCCAAACACTGCTTTGGATACATCCAAATGATTTTGATCTGTTATTTCTTCATTTTCTTTTTGTAAAAAAATTTATTATTAATTTCAGTAAAAATTTACAGAGACTTTGGCTTTCTATTCATTCATTGTTGCACTTTTTCTCCTCTCCCAAACCTTCCCCCCTAGTACACCTCCCTCTTAGAAAAGTAAAAGACAAATTCATTGTTTTACAATCCCTCCCCCAGGTCCACTCCACTATGTAGCCTTCGCTCTAGACTCCTGTCATGACAAAAATACCTAATCACATATCCCTTTTAAACAGTTTTCTCCCTCATCTGTTTCAATGCAGTAGACATTATTGAACCTATCTTTCTCAGTCTCTCCCCAACTCCGAGGTCAGTCCTGTTTTACAACAGTGGCACCATGCAGTATTTGTCCTTTTGTGACTGAGATACTTCACTCAGCAAAATGTCCTCCAGGGTCATGCATTTTGAATAATATTGCATGAGTTGTTTTTCAATGCAGCGTAGCATTCCATTGTGTGACTATACCACAGCTTCTCTGTCCATTCGTTTGTTGATGGGTATGTCTTCATTTTCAACTCATCTCCAAGTAGCTTCTAGTCTCTCGATCTCTTCTGAATGATTGTTTAGGAGTTAATTGCCGTTGAGTCAGCACTAACTGCCGGCTGGCTGTCCTGTGGGTTTGTGGGCTGGAGATGTCACAGGAGGGCTTTGTTCATCTTTCTCCTGTAGAGCTTGTGGGGGATTTGAACTGCCAAAGGCTTGGTCTCTGGATTAGCAGTACAGCTCCCTACTGATCAGGCCACCAGACTTCCCTGAGCTGAGTTAGCAAAATGTCCCTCAAAGCTCTTATTTCTGAGTTTACTAATTTTCTCTTTTGAGGATTTCGAATTTGTTCCAAACTTTGCATTATTTTAGAATAAGAAGCATGATTGCTTATAGAAGCAGACTATCATCTGGTTTGCTCAATAGAACTCTACTCCAATTAATAGAAGACAAAGAGGTCAGGATAATTCATCAGGTACCTTTGGTCAGGACAGTGATTAAGGGGCATCGTATACTAACCTGGAAGCTCCTACATGGGTCATTGAGGGAATGGATCATTGAGAGCCCTGGCCTCTTTTATTCTGCCTTTTAGCAAAGTTAGTTATAATTGCCCCAGAAAAATACACATTTTCTTTTCTTTTCCTTACAGCCGTCTTTCCATTCCTTACTCCTGTTTTCGAAGCATTAAATATTTCTGTGTTTCCGAGAGATGTTACTGATTTTTTCAAAAAGTCTGTAAAAAGAATGAAAGAAGAGCGCCTTAAAGAAAACAAGAAGGTGAGATCTGGTGGTGATGACGTGAGTGTGTTCACATGCAGTTATTTCTCTGACACAGTGAACTGTATACATATTGCTTAAGTCCTTCCTGTGTTTTAAAAGTATCTCAAGAACTCTAGGTTTAGCATAAGCAAGGATTTATTTTGAGAGGAATGAAGAATGTGGAGACTGGAGGAGAAAAAGAATGAAAAACAGATACAACATTGAAAACTGAATAAGATGTATAATAATGAAACTCACTGAGAGAAAGCCTTCCCTAGGATTTGGTGTTCTGAACTCAGACGTCGAGCCTTCTACAAGGGGGATCTGGTGGCAGAGAACGTGGGAAGTTCTGCTGTCAACCCAAAGGGAGCCCTTCTCGGGTGGTTGGGATCCACTGGCGATTCTCAGGGAGAAAAATGGACATTCTCCTCCTCAGTGGTTTACAACTTCAGAAACCCAGTGGGGGGCAGCTACGAGTTGGTTCTGATTTTGTGGCTTTGAGCTGAGTTGAGTCGGTAATAAGTAATATGTTTCTGTGTAAATACTGTTGAGATAAAAATTACCATTACTCTTCTCTTCAGTATGTTCTCAAATGAAAAAAAATACTATTTGCATATTAATTTAGTGGCATTATAATTACTCCATATATTGGTTGGATAACAACCGTTTCCATTTCAAGCCTCATGTTTTACAATGAAAGGCATCTCGGATCAGTGGAGTAACTTTTGCTAAATTTTGGTGCATTCGTAGTCTGAAGAGGGTACAGTGTTCTCTGGGCACTGAAGCTGCAAGATGAGTGACTTTACCCTCAAGAGAGCCAGAGACCAGCACAAGAATGTCTGTAGGTGAGGGAAGCGGGTTGGAGTACTCCATGAAAAATTCTGGGAGGTGGAAGTGTTGAAGCTGCTTACAGAAAACATCAAGTGAGCTGTGGAAGTGTCAGGGTTATTGGTTAAGAAGAAGACATGAAGTCTACATGAGGGTATTTAATATTTAATATAGAAGAACAAAAAAAGATTGAAGCCAAACGTAACTATTCTTGTGCAAGAAACTATGGCAAAAGGATTAGGGAATGTTTTGACCAGTTGTAACTAGAGTGGGGCCAGCATGGGGGCAGCTGCACCTCACTTCTTCTATTAACTTCACAAAGGGAAACAGTCCCCATAAACAACACCCACAATACCAAACCAATTCCATTCCCAGAAGGTCAGCTGGGGCCTCCAGAGTCCCATTTGCTTCTACTGGGTCTGAAATCTGTTGCAATAGCTGCAGAGACCTCACAGAACAATCCTAATGGTTGTAGAGTTTACTAGGCAACATAACAGGTTGCAATTCAGGTTGGCAACAGGATAGAATTGCTTAGTTAGAGCAGCTTCTCAAGTGTATTTGTAGGTCCTTTGGTCTTCAGCCTCATGACTTAGGTGGGTGTTATAAAGTTCTCTTATTTCTGCCAAGTATTGTATTTCCCTTCAGTTTTCCAGTTAGCTGAAGCGAAGCCCTGGCTCTGGCTCTGTGAGGCAGCTGTCCCACATCAGCTCCGTCTCATGCCAGTCCCTGGTTCTCTGGTCCTCTTGGTGTAGGTATGTCCTGGTCTGACAGGCTCAGGATTTTCTGGTTTCCAAGAACGGACACTGCATTCTCTCCTGCTTCCTCCTTGCTGTTCATGAGATTCCCAATTTCTCCCACTGAACCTGCTTGATTTAAACTTAGTGGAATGGAATAACTGGCTAATACCCTTATGGATGGATGAGACACCCTGTTTGTATATTCCTGACCAATGATGTGGCTGATGACAGTCAAAGGCAATTGCCTTAGAAAGTCATTATGAACATAACACCCGTTAAAGAACACAAGGAAACTACATTCAAAAGCTAAGGAAGTCAAGAATCAGGGAGGGAGAGTTTCCAAAAACACATTAGCTGGATTTCTCCCAGGGAAGCATCTTGCGCTCCAAAATGGACAAGTGGATGTTTCTGTTCACTGGTGATCCAAGCACCACCAGTCTAATGTCATGGAGTGATGGGGCTACTACAGTCTCAAGAAAGATGTAAAGTGCTGCCCTTGGAGTCAGTAGAATTCTTCTTCATTTCCAGAACCGGGTGGATTTACTTCAGCTGATGATTGACTCCCAGAAGTCCAAAGAAACCCATAAAGGTAACCAGGAGGGTGACTCAAAGGATTAACGGGGGTTGGAAGGGTTAATGGGAAGTGAGTTGTTCTGAAATGTACAGAAATTTTCTAACCACGTGAGGTTTTCTGCCTAATAAAAGCAAAGAAACACATTCAGAAATGATAAATGAAATACTACCTAGAATTAGGCAGTGGTATTACCTAGAAGTAGGCAGACATTTCAAGAGCAGCCCTAAACAAGCATTTTGTAGGCAAAAGTCAGTGTTCTGTAGATCATCTACATCGGAACATCCACAGAGTGTCTCAAGAGTACGTTTTTAGGCTGCTCCCAGTATTCACGAGTCAGAACTCTTACGTGGAAATTTACATAGTCATCACATCAGGTATATTGGTAGTAGCAACTTGAAACTCTTTTTTGTTACTTTTTAAAATTTATACTAGTTTATTTACAAAATTAGAATACATTTTTTTACCAGACCAGATTCAAAACTTAAAATTCTTGGCTAAGGTTATGCTTACTAGTTCACCCTATTATATAGCTTTATTTGTAATTATTAATGAATATATTAGGGGAGCCGTTGAAAGTATGTAATTGCCTTGTTTCTCCTCCAGTATTCACGTAATAACATTATTACCCATTGACTACTGAGTGAAGTTATTGGTTGGGTGAAGATGGCAAGGTGGTGGTTTTCTATTTCTGTCGTTCCTTTCATAATTATGAATTAATATCCACCACAAGGGGGCAGTTTGTATTCTTTTTCATTTATCTTTTATATCACTATGTATTCATGAAGTATTCATAGATTCTCACCTTACATTGATTTATTTGGGTGCGAATATTCGCTCAAGCTTGTTCAGGGTAAGCATTTCCCGAGCGATTTCTATGTCCTTTACACATGACTATTAATTTCTGGCACTTCCTTGCTTTCTGGTGTATGATACTCAGGTTTCTCTTCTGTTTTAAACCCAAACTCGTCATTTGGGGTGATTGACACTCAAGCCAGTCCTTCCTCCAAGGAGATTTAGTTTCTTTCTTTTAGTAGGAAATAGAATTTAGAAATAAAAAATCTGAGAATTAAGTGGCCCATTCCCCACCAGGAATTCTTTACTCTTATACTTTCATATTGACAAAATTAAGTCAATATATTGGCACAAAACTGAGTATTTATACACTTACTTATATAAATGTGTATTCAAATCTAGTGATATTCAAAACTAGTCAGCCCTGGCTCATGCTTTATTTATAGTCAGTTTATATGACATTAATACATCCATCATGGTCAAGATCAAGGTTTCAGTATTTTGGCAATTAGTTTATAGAATTCGTGAATAACTAACAATTGTTTCTCCTGAGTAGAGATGAGCAGACTTAATCACAGCGCAGTGAAGAAATTGATCTACGTGGTTACATCTTTACCCATCTACTTACCATCTGGGCAGATGATTATTTCTATTTGTCATCTGTCTATCTCTTTTATGTTTCCGTCCATCTATCTATATCACCCACACAATGTTTACTGTTGGAGGAGATATTCTCTATTTACACTGTTGGAGCCAGTAAACCCCAGATAAATGTGTCTGAAATGTGGCTAGTGTCTTGGAAAAATTTAGAACTTCGTTTCATTTTAATGAACTGAAATGACATTGGAATAGCCTGGGTGGTTAATGATTACTGTATTGAACAATGCAGCTGCAAACCTCAGGCTGTACTCCAATGCACGTTCAGTACCACAACGTTTACATGGGAGAAAGACTTTGAGAGTTATGTTTACCCACAACAGCATCACCTGAGCCATAGTTGGGAAGTCAGAGCTCCAAAGACACTCTTTGCACACATCTCATGTTGTTTCTGTATGACGTAGGTGGCGGGCAGGCACCGTGCTCATTCCAGTGCTCTAGGTGTCTAAAGGTCTTATTGCAGCCCTAATCAGCAGAGTAGAGCTTGTCCGTGCTTGGCTTCTTTCAGGAGGAACAGCAAAAGGGAGAAGGGATGCCAATTTATAACTGCAAGGGCTGTTTGAATAGCATCAAAAAAGTGAATAGAGGGACCAGAGGAAGATGCCATTTAGCCTATGTAAAAGAGCTTTACTAATCTTAATAATTGGACTCTAGTTTTTCTGTAGTTACTGTTGGCCAATATTCATCTATGACATACTCATTCTTGTGCTGTTTTAATCACATCAGTTAGATTTGGGAGACACTAAGTCAGAGGAAACATGAAGAAATCTCACTTTTGTGGCTAATTGAATGTTAAGGACCAGTATGAATTCAATCCTCAACATTAGCCCCTCATGTGACTGTCCAACCCTACAACTTAGATGTGGATCAGAGTCACAAGTCGGAAGGACGGCTTCTTTCGGACCTCCTGTCCTTACAACTTTTCTCTGACCTGAGCCATTCAGAGACGGGCCAGAGCCCACAAGTGAGAAGCATAACTTCTCTCAGGACAACTAACCCTGCAGTATTTCTCTGGCCTTAGTCAATGAGATCTGGGTCTGAGCTTCTAAGTTGGAAGGAGATGCAAACCCCACCTGAGTTTCGCTGCCGTTGTGGGTTTGATAGACTTACTCAGAGACTCTCCAACAGAGTGTACCATACCCAGGACGAAAGGTGTATTTCAACTAAGAAGGCTACAGACAGAGAAGCAGAGGACCACTCATGGCCCTAGGTAGCTAACCAGAGCCTACACGCATTCCCCCCTTGAGGCTTGGGAATTTCATTTGGGTTTCTCTTAAGCTATCGAAACTGTGGTTTATTTATTTTTTTAAAAACCCCTTTCTCAAGCTTTACTTCACGTGTCTTTCCCGCCCTCTCAGCTTTGACAGATCTGGAGCTCGTGGCGCAGTCAATCATCTTCATCTTTGCTGGCTATGAGACCACCAGCACCACTCTGTGCTTCCTCATGCATTTGTTGGCCACAAACCCGGACGCTCAGCAGAAGCTGCACGAGGAGATTGATGCCATTTTGCCCAATAAGGTGAGTGGACAGAACATGACGTGAGAGGGCGAAGGTGGAGCCTTAGTGAGAATGTCTTCCCATTAATGTTCAGGATAGATCTTGCAGACAGCTTAATTTTCATGTTTCAATTCCTCCTTTCAGCTGCCCTAGATGGAACATGGATATGTAGCGTGGTAATCCAGGCTCGGAATAGAGGGTCAAAATGTTCCACATGGACTCTCAAAAGTCTTTAGGTCAAATTTGGTGTAACTTCCTGGAATTTACAGCCTTTCTCCAAAACTAATAACCTTCTTATAACTGCAAATGGGTTAGAAAATAGGGAAATCTGTGAATATTTGATGAATGGTGAATGTCAATCACTTAATTCTGAAGAGAAAAACTATTATATATTGATAACTATGTATTCTATATGAATGATTATTATCTATATGAACTACACATTATATATCAGTAACTATAATTATCTCCATATTACCACATCAGAGAACTAAGCTGTCAAGAGAGAAGGAAGGTAACTTCCCCAGGGTCATAGAGCGAGTGCTAAAGAAACAGAGATGTGCTCCTGCATGTCTGACTTCTGATCCAGTCTCAACCACTAGAAAACAGCAGCTAGAATTCTGCACAAAGAGAAAACCATAGTACTCACACTTCTGCACATCTGTGCAAAGTTGAAATTCTTTATGTTGTGAAGTGTGTTTTCATGTGCAATAAGAGAATAGGAACTCAGGTCTCATAGAAGGTCCTTAAAGGACAGCTAGGATGGCATTACAGCCACGGGGGCGGGCTCAGTGAGTAGAGGATGGCATCCCAGCCAATCCCATCCACAGGGCATGGGCTCAGTGAGGAGAGGACGGCATCCCAGCCAATCCCAGCACAGAGCTTGGGCTCAGTGTGCAGAGGACGGCATCCCAGCCACAGGGTGTAGGATCAGTGTGGACTTTTGAATTTCTTTATAACTCTCTCCAGAGCCGGTTGCCATCTAAGCATAACCTTCCCTTCGCTTATTTAGAATGGTGAGGACTAATTTCCCAGATTATTTCTGGAATTCCTATACAAGGTGTTTTGGTGGCTTGGTAAGGAGTTGCACTGCCAACCCAGAGACATGTGGTTCCAATCCATCAGCTGCTCTGTGGGAGAAGGATGGACAGTCTCCTCCTGGAAGATTCCTAGTCACTGAAAGCCCACCAGTGGGTCAGCTCCGAGACAGTTCTGACTCAGTGACACACAGCAGCAACAGAGCACGATCTTTACAGAGCTTCTGTGAAATATTGAGCTTCTTGCCCTCTGTTACTGTAATGTCTCTCTCCACCTTCATCATTATCATCATCATCATCTATCTATGCTGGTGTAAACATATCAGAATAGTAAGCAGTATTTATGAACCTTAAAACCTCATCTGAAATAGATATGCTCACTTACACACACACACACTCTCACACTTACTTAAACAGAATGTCATTGTCAATTAATTGGATTTGGCAAGAGAAGGAAAATATCACAAGGAAGTGGTAAAGATTCAGTGCCTGTTTAGAGGATTTTTTCAATCATTTCCTCTATTTATAACGGCTCCACATACTTCAATGTGCCATTGAGCAGCCAAGGGAACGTGATAGACGTACAAGACTTAGAAATGTTCAGCTCTACCATCAACGTAAGTCATTCTTTGAAGATCTTAGTCATTAAATTCCTAGGCTGAATTTAAACTTTTGGAACTGTCTTTCTTTCTTTCCAGGCCCCTCCCACGTATGATGCTGTGTTCCAGATGGAGTATCTTGACATGGTATTGAATGAAACACTCAGGTTATATCCTATTGCTGGCCGACTGGAAAGAGTCTGTAAAAAAGATGTTGAAATCAATGGTGTGAACATTCCCAAAGGAAGTGTGGTGATGGTGCCATCTTATGTGATTCATCGAGACCCAGAACTCTGGCCAGAGGCTGAAAAATTCATTCCTGAAAGGTACGGAGTCCCTCAGAAAGAACTGTCACTAACCCAGGCTACCTTGGTCCTTCATAGTGATGACAAACACATGATCACAAAATCATTTGCTTTTTAATCTTTAGTTTTTTAAACACTTTGTTCATATTACAAACATATCTTTCTATTTGTCAAAATTTTACAAATTGTAGTCTAGAAAAAAAGTAATATACATCCGAAGTCCTTCAAATACATCCTCATCCATGTGCTGTATGTGCTGTGGGTAAATGGGGCTTATCTCTGCATTTATCGGTTTTTCTATTAGAGTGTTACCATATTTCATTGGACTTGAACTTTGTATTTTATTTAACACCAGAATGTAGACATTATCCTATGTTACCATGTTGTTGTTGTTGTTCAGTGCCATCGAGTTAGTCATGACCTGTCGTGGCTCTATGAACCATAGACTTGAACTCTGTCCTACTCTGTGCTTCCCTTGTCATCCTCAACCCACTTGAGTCCATTTCTGCGGAAACTGTATCTATCTTGTTGAGGGTCTGTTTTTCCTTTGTTGATTCCCTTCCTTTCCAAGCATGTTGTCACTTTTTAAGAAATAGCTTCTAACAACATGTCCAAAATGTATGAGGAGAAGCTTCCTCTTTGCCTATAAGCAAACATTCTAGCTGTACTTTCTCCAAGATTTATCTGCTTGTTATTTGGTAGTTCATGAGAGATTCAGCACTTTTCTTCAATACCGCAACTCAATTGCATCTTCTCCTGTCATCTTTACTCATGGTCTAGCTCTCAGAAGCGAAGCAGGTGATTTCGAAGACTGTGGCTTGAATCAGGCACACCTTAGTCTTTCCTTGTTGTTAGCAGACTTTCCCAATGTTACATGCTTTCCAATCTCCTAACTGTTGGCACTAGGGTTTTGACTGTGGATCCAAGCAAGATGAAATTGTTGTCATCCAATCTCTTTTCCATCTATCATAACGCTGCCTATTGGTTCAGAAATGAGGGCTTTTGTTTTCTTGATGTTGAAATTTAATTCCTATTGAAGGCTGTGTTCCTTGCTTCTCTAAAACAAGCTCTCGTCATTATCAGCTAGCAAAGTTGTATCATCTGCATAATGGGTTATGCAAGGTTCTTGATGAGACTTCCTCCAATCCTAATGTCACATTCTTATTCATAAAATTCAGCTTCACTATCTCACACTTCTCCTGATTTGAAGCTATACAATGTTCCCTTTTTCTGGTAGGGAAATAGCCTCTAGATCTAGGTATAGATTTCATATGAAAATAAGTGTTCTGGAATTCCTGTTCTTCTCAAGGTTAGCCATAGCTTGTTATGATCCACTCATTTAAACACTTTTGCATAGTCAACAAAACACAGATAGGTATTCTTCTGCTATTCTCTGCTTTCAGCCAAGATCCATCTGACATCAGCAATGATTCTCTCTGGTGCCACGGCCTCTTCTAAATCCAGCTTGAACTTCTTGTAGTTCTCTGTCAATATACTGTTCTGTTTTTGGATGATCATCAACAAGAGTTCTAAAAATTATTTATCTTTTATTAAAATTGTTGAATAACTTTTCATAGTACATTAAATTTGTTTGGAAAAAAAATGAGGAAAGAAATAAAAAGTTTAAAAATACACTCCAGTGCAGACAAGACATTCTGGAGAGACAGTCTATGGCTAAGTATGTGAGTTCCACAAGTCTATATACATGTCTGTAATGCAAGATCCATACCAGAAAGTCTTTCAGTAAATAGCAATAACAGAGCTGCTGGGGGCGGGGACACTGCAGTGCCCATCCGTCCTGGCCACAGCCTGGGTTCCACCCTAAGCTCCCTCCCGAGTTACATAGAAGGCCCGTGGGGGGGCGAGTTGTGGGCCCACTTCCTCATGCAACCTCCCTGTGCCACAACTGCATAGTAAGCCTTCGAAAGGTCAAATGGCCGATTGACGCTTTGGTCTTAAAAACAAGAAAAAGAAAATTAAGTACAATAGACGTGGTACTATGAGAACCTGAAGAGATGAGAGTGAACCCCCACATCTGCACACAGTGCTTTTTTGGGGATGTCTGAACCCCACTTCTGCACGCAAAGCAGTCTTGGGGTGGACCAGTCATCATATGAAGAAATACTGACGTAGGTGCCTTGGTCACCCAGGATTGAGAATGTCATGCAAAAAGCATAAAACGAGTTTCCTTAGCCCAGAAACACAGGCTCCATGCACACAGGTGTGCCCAGGCACACGTGTTCCTTTCAGAACAGAAAACAGAAGCTAGAGAACGGAGTATCCTAACTTGGAGCAAACTCCCTGACCAGTTTCACAGACTCTGCCTTCACTTCTGCCACGCTGTCTTTCCCTTCTTGTAATGGGTGAATCAGTAGGTGTCCCCCTTCAGCAGTATGTTACAGGCACGTGTAATTAATAATAATTTCCACATTTGGTTGGGTCGCTTTTCTTGGGAACAGGAACAAATATGGCAGCTTGAGAAGACAAAAATATTATCATAGAATGTACAAAGAGCTGAAATTGGAGAATAAAAAAGGAAGAATTTACTCAGCATTTCTCAAATTTCAAGAACTGAAAATCTAATTCAAGCCTCTAGTTGCAATACTGAGAAATGCTACAAGAAAAATCTTGAACGATCCAGGAAGCATGAAAAGAGGGTGGAGGGAATAAATAGAGTCACTGTGGGGAAAAAAAGTTGGTTGACATTGAAATATTTCAGGAAATACCATATGATAGAGAGCCAATGTTGATGGAGTGCCCTGGCAAAATACAAGTCCCCAGGAATCAATGGGATACAAATAACATGTTCCAATAGCAAGTGGAGCCCTGGACCTCATTACTAGTCTGGGCTAGGAAATTTGGAAGACAGCTATCTGACCAACTGACTGGAAGAGAGATATATTTTATGTTACTACAGAAGTAATTATATCGTAATTTCTGATGGCCATATATACACTTCATAGTTTATTGAACCACTTTTTATTTTTGTAATTTTTTTCTGTGCTTCTCTCTTTAATTCTCTGAATTTAACGTGAACTCCAGGAGCATTTCCACAGTCCATTTTTTACAATGTAGATTTCTTCATCACTGATAGTACTTTTAGAAGGAGTACATGAGAAGTTGTCTACGTCCTATATTTCTTATGCCATAGAAATGTAAGGTTCTTTCAAGCTCTACAGTTCCACCCTCTATAGCTTCAGGACCATAAAACTAGAGACCGCTCACTAGAATTTTTGATTCATCCATTGATCAAACAGGTATGAAGTGTTCACTATTTGTCACAGACTAGATCTGACAATGTGAACTTCAAATATTAAAAATCAAACCTACTGTCAATGACGAAGAATTTTTGATATATGCCCAAGTCTATAGAAGCTATCATTTGTTTCCACTAGCCCATCAACAGCCCCCCGAAACCATCCCTGCATGACTTTATACTAACCTTCTATTTCCCCCCTTATTCCCATATTATTTTGAAGCACATCACATTATTTGACCAATAGTTTTTAAATTATTCGCTAAGATATAAAGACTCTAGTAAAACCTCATAACTACAATACCATCATAATTTAATCAATGAATATTATTTTCCTAAATACAATAACAATATAGAAAATAAATGTGAATTAAATTGCATCAAACCTACCACAAATACAGCTTTTGTAGGATAAAAACTTCCAAAATAACTTTCATAGCATTCAAATCTCACTACCTTGAGTGTAATGATGATATTTAAAGTATGAACTTTGTAAGTAAACCACTTAAAATAAAAAAAAAATTAAAAAGTTTTCTTTAAGTGATATTCTTCTCATCTTCGCAATAAGCTCAAAGTTCCTATAGATAAAGGGAATGGAAATGTAACTTTAATTATTACGGCAAACAATAACAATATAAAATTCCAGTGACTAATCTATGAAAGCATCTTCTGTTCCATGCGTGTTAAGTGCAAATGCCAAATATGTAGCTTTTGTTGTTTTTACACTTTATTAACTTATTTTACTGTTATGGACCCAGGTTCAGTAAGGAAAACAAGGACAGCATTGACCCTTACTTATACCTGCCCTTCGGAACTGGACCCCGAAACTGCATTGGCATGAGGTTTGCTCTGATGAACATGAAATTTGCTATCGTCAGAATTCTACAGGAGTTCTCCGTGAAACCTTGTAAAGAAACCCAGGTCAGACAGTAAACTCTTGGCATAAATTATTTTCATTGACAGTATTTTTACTGAGGAATCTATATTTGTCTAGTTATGTTTCAATAAGTTAACCATAGGAACGATTTGAAGATTTTTATAAACTTTAATGGCCTTTAAACTTCTGGAGTTCTAAGTATGTGGCTTTACGAAAACTAGTCCATAAAGATAATTTAGAGTCAAAGACAATTAGGTAAGTGTGATAGGCTTACAGTCAATCCATTTAAACTAGAACAAAGTGTTGAATTCCCTTTCAATTCAGCTGCAAAGAGGGAGAAATGGTATGCCCAAAGCTCTTCTTGCCTGGTGGTGAGAAGCTGTGCTGCAATCCTGAAGGCACGTGGTTCAATTCCACCAGCTGCTCTGTGGGAGAAGTGTGGGAAGTCTCCTCCTATGCAATTTATTGCCTCTGAAAACCCACTGGAGGGTCAGCTATGGGCGGTTCTGACACAACAGCACACAACAACAACTGTTAGGTAGTACATGATGGCTCTGTTGTGATTTTTGAATGATTCCTTCCTCCAGCAGAATTGACAGACTCTTGTAATAGTGCTTCTCACCCACTACTTGTACATTAAAATCACTAAACAGTTCCCAAAGCTGAGTCATTTGAGAGATTCTTTTGTTATTAGCCTGATGTGACTTTAAAAGCTCACCTGTGGATTCTTTTGTACGTCCAAGGTTCACTGATTGAAACAAAACATTTCTTCCAGATACGAAAAATTCTCACAGTTCAGGATCACTCTAGCTAGTTCGTTTTTCTTCCCAGAATCCCTGTTCCAAACGAGCTGGACACCTTTGATAGCTTAACAACATCACGATAGTAGGAGTTAAGAATGGTTGTGTACCAGGCCTCCTGGTGTGTACAAACAGGGGACTCTGACATGAAGGAAAGCAGACCTGGAGTGGGATCCTCCTCGATATTCTCCTGCTGAAGGGTCTGTGCTATTCACCTTCTGCCATAATCTGTCTTTTGATATTTTTGAGTGAAGGCTTACCTTTCACTCAGCTAAGATCAGAATTTTACAGTAGTGGTGCCAACATTGAAGTGACAGTGAACTGAGGAACTCGAACCCCTTGTGAGAAAGCTGTACCTCAGCAAGTTTATAACTTACCTTAGAACCACAGAAGTAACCCTGCTGGCATAGTAGGTACGTGTGAGCTTCCAATCCAAAGGCGCGAAATTTGAACACACTAGCTGATCCATGGAAGAAATATAAGGCAGTCTTCTTGTCATTAAGATTCACAGCCTTTGGAACCCAGTGGAAGATCTTCCTGAGTTAGATCCTACTTGATGACCGACAGCTGGCTTGATTAGGAGCAAGAGACAGTGCTAGGAAAACAAAGGTGTCAAGTACAGGAAGACCTCTTCTCCTTGAATTAGCTGAGGTGGTGTGACTCTGGAAGGTAGGGACTGCCTGTGATTGCCAAAGTTCAGCAAAACTGACTCCATGTGATTGTTCAAGACTAGACTGTAATAAAGCATAAGACCTTGGTGTGCATTTGACATAAAATGTCTTAGTTTTATCTACCACTTAAATAGAAAAGAATACAAGACAACATGGCATTGTTTGTAAATATTTTGTTCAGTAAGGAAATGAGGGATTGCTTTCACGGCCTTGTCTTGGTAGAGCTCATAGAATAGTTATAAAGAAAAAGATACATGCCGGCAAATATTCGGAAGATATGTTGCTGCGTCCATCCGTATTGTCCTTACTTTGTTTTTGCTGTTGATGCAGCATTTATGTGTTCTAAATATGCTGTTTTATTGTTGCAGATTCCCATGAAAATTGGCAGAGAACCAATTCTCACACCAGCAGTGCCTGTTGTTCTAAAGTTTGAGTCCCGGGTTGGAATTGTAAATGGAGCCTGACTTTCCAACTTATTCTTCAAGGAAGCTGCTTTCCAGAAAATCAGAAGGCTGAATTGATCCTGTGAAGATGGGCTGGATCCAGCCTATTGCACTTAATTTTTAGAGATTTTGTGCATTCTTAATGTCCAATAAAATATTATATGTTGTATAAAATTAAGATGGCAATTAAATCAGGACCAGATAAGAAATACAGGTGGTTGTTGTTGCTGTTATTAGGTGCTGTCTAGTCGAGTACGGCTCACAGCGTCCTATGAACAGAAGACCCTGTGCCGTTCATACACTTCCTGGCACCCAAGAGCCCAATGTGGCAATCGCTGTGTCAGTCCACCTGGTCAAGGGTTTTCCTCTCCTGTGTCCACCCTCCACCCTTCCCAGCATCGTGTTCCTCTCCAAGGAATAGCCTCTCTTAGCAACATGCTCAAAGTATGCGAGGTGAAACCTCATCATTCCTGAAATACAAGTTACACAGTTTTTGTATAATATTTCTCTCCTTGCCTCCTTCCTTCTCCCTCCCATTCTAGCTTCTTCCCTCCCTCCCTCCTTACCTACCTCCATGTCTATCTTCTCTATCTGCCTGTATATGTCTGCCTGCCTGTCTGACTACTTACCTGCCATCACGCATACATGTGTGCCCACTGACCTACGTTTCTTTCTACCTTCCTCAATATTGGTCATTTCTAGATAGGTCTGTAACTATCATCTATTTTTTAGTCTATATTGTGAGACAGAAATTCTTGATGAGCCTCAGGCATTCCAGCCCCCTAGTATTTTAATTTTTCTATCACTGGCACATGCATGTAAGACCTTTCAGATAAACACTAACCCTAGTCTGTTTACAAGCACCAAAGAGATACTAAACAAAAATTGCCCACCTAAGTCTAGTCACCCTGGGTTCATGAGCAAAATAAAGGAAGATTATGATTCATTGCTTTTTGATGGCATGTTATGACACAATAGATAATTATAACACTTCATCTAGTAAGATGTGTAGAATCCTGAAGAATGATGAGAAGTGTAGAAAGTAATGCAATACAGTGAATCACAGACAATAGCAAAGGTATTGTAGATCAACTAGAGAAAGAGTGCCGGGTCTGAGCAGGGGTGGCCCTTGGCCGTGTGTTTCAGTATCACTCACTCTCACTGCTGTCCAGTTGGAACTACTCATAGTGGACCCTCCCTGTGTTTTCAGAGGCTGTAAATTGTGCGGGAGGAGATTGCCCATCATTCTCTCATGGATCCACTGTTGGATTTGAACCACCAAAGAGGCATTGAAGTAGAAGTGTAGATCCTTAAGGACTTGGGCACCTGAGATCCTTGTATCTCAATATAGTGAAAGAGGGAAGAGAAAGAAAGCCTGACACTGTTGTTAGTTTGGTGTCCTCACATTGACTGTTGTTGCGCTCTGGGCACCAGCAGTCAGGAAATCAAAAGCTGAATTGCACTGGGGAAATCTGCTGTTAGGGACTCTCCCAGGTACCGAGAAGCAATGATGTCAGTCTGGAGACTAAGGTGCACCTGATCCAGGTCATGGTCTTCACAATTACATGCTATGCTTCAGAGAGCTAGACAATGACTAAGGATGATAGAAGAAGGATTGAGACCTTCGAGTTGTGGTGCTGGAGAAGAGTCTTGAACATACCATGGACTGCCAAGAAAACAAATAGGTCTGTCTTGAAGAGATGAAACCAAGTCCGTCCTTGGACGCTAGGATTTTGAAGCTCTGTCTCACATACTTTGGGTGCATGGCCAGGAAGGATCAGTCCTTGGAGAAGGACATCATGCTCAGAAGGGTGGAGGGACAGCACAGGAGAGAAAGAGCCTGGAGGAGATGGATTGATATATAACTGGGGCAGTGGGGTCAGTGTGTCCAAGTCAGTGAGACTAACTCAGGACGGAACAGGCTTCAGAGCTGTTGTACGTACGGTTGCTATGAGTCACAGATGATTCGACAGCACATAACAACAATAACAACCACCACCACCATAACAACCACGTAGTGACCCGGTGAACAGCGGCTTGAAATCTGTTCTCTGCTCTGTCTTCCTCACAATCCCTGCCATGCTCCACTGCTGCAGTCCGTGTCTCTCCATCCCATGGAAGTTTCGCTTGCTGACCCTCTTCTTCTCCACGCGTCGTAGAATTGGAAGCACGTCCAAAGTAAGGAGGATGAAAAAAGAATATAGAATTAAACAAAAATAAAAAAGAAAAAGATCAACAAAACCAGCAGAGTGAGGAGGGTTACGTCCACCATCCTTGCTTCCAAGGCACATCTGGGTTTCACAGAAATATGTGTGAAGAAACATACACTCTTGGGAAGAAAGAAGTGATAATACAGCCACTTGATTACATAGTTCTCATATAACAAAACATCTAGACAGAATGATTTGCAGGACCCGGGAGCTCGGGACCATAGTCTCAGGGTACGTCAAAGCCAACCGGCACACAAAGGTTACAAAGACAATATTCTACGTACAGCTGTGGTGAGTCAGGCCTGATGTGCTGATGCTACTGGCCCATGGACCACACTCTGAGCAGCAAAGGTTTATCTGGAGCCCAAAACCCTTCCCTAATGGGTAGAGACGAAAATTCTTTACACATTTCCTACAATGCAATGATAGGGTTGCAAACTCTTTTAGAACAGTTTAATGTGTACTTTAGCTTAAACAATTTAAATTTTCTTGGAGAAGAAATATATCCTAATGTTTTACCTGGTGGTGTAGCTGGATGCTTGTTGAGATGGTAGCTCAAAGGTTGGTGGTTCAAATCCACACCATGGAAGAAATGTAGGCAATCTTTCGTAAAGATTACAGCTTTGGAAACCCAGTGTAGGGTAACCATGAATCAGAACAGACTTGGTGGCAGTGACTGTGTGTTTTAGAAGGTGATGTTAGGAATGTCCAACAGCCATAATTGTATATTAGAAGTGAAATCTCTTGAAATCGCCCAGTTGTACTGGGGGTGAACGCTCATAGCCTGTAGCAGGAGGTCAGGAGTAACATAGACTCGCGAAAAACCACTTTTAAAACAGTTTAATTTCCCAGCTCTCAGACATGGATCACACCGTGAACTGTGCCTCTGGCTTACTTTGCCATCTTACTCTGTGAGCATTTCACTGGGTTTCTTGTCACCTACACCGAGCGCCGTTTTTGCATTGGCAGCATCCGGTGTCTTTCCTCTGCTTTCAGCATTGGCTGATACGGAGCTGTTTATTCTTGCTGGTTATGAGACCACCAGCACAGCTCTTTCCTTCCTCAAGTATTTATTGGCACAAACCCTGATGCTCAGTGAAACTGCAAAAGGAAACCGATATGGCTTTGCCCAGTAGGGTGAGCGGGCACTGTGAGAAGAGGGAGGGTGACGGTGGATCTTAATAAGGACACCTGATCACGTTTTAGGGGGGACTTAAAAATATCTTAAATTTTATATTGGTTTGCATACAAAATTCATGTGCTTGGTGTTTTATTCACATACATTGTGATTTGATCCACATAGTCATTCATTCATTGTGTTTTGTACAACCATTCCTGTGCTTTGTGTTTTATAAAATTAATTGTCGTTGAGGTATGCCCACTCTTCCCCAGTCTTTTCAGGTCCCCACTGGATCTTCCCTAGTTTCAGGGGAGATTTTGAAGAAGGTAAGTGTTCATTGTCCCTCCACCCTTTTGTAGCTGTCCTTCTGAGAACATATTGTTGTTATGTGCCATCAAGCGGCCTGTAACTCATAGCGACGCTATCTATGTCCAACAGCCCTAAACCCTGCTCTATCCTGTGCAGTCTTATAGTCTCTGACACACCTACCCCATTACCCCAGTCACTGAATCAATTAAAAAAAGTCTCTTGGAATTGAAGAGGTTAGACTTCCATACTGAAGAAGCCAGGCCTAGGAGACGGCATCCTCTCTCTGTACAACCTTTCTTTCCTTCAGCAGATGTGGCCCATGGAGGTCTCCATGTGTCTCAGCTTTTCCTCTTGTCAAGGAAATTCCTAGTGCACAGACCTACTCCACTCCTGGGGATCGTTTTTTGGTTGCACCGAGTCTTTCCCCGCCCCAGCTCCTGAGATAAAAGCTGCTATGGGCAGCATCCCAGGGAAGCTTCCTCACTTCTCTCAGGGCTGTGATGGGATTAAGGTGTTACATTCCGTCCAAGGGGAGCTCTGGTGGCCTAGTGGCAAGAAGCTGCACTTCAATCCCAAAGGCACACGTTTCGAGGCCAACAGCTGCTCCACTGGAGAAAGATGGGCATTCTGAAAACCCACTGGAAGGTCAGCTATGGGTCAGTCCTGACTCTACAGTTCATAACAACAACCACCTCCCATCCAGACTATGGGGTTATCAGATGAGGGATCACGGCAGTTTCCACATCATACACATATTTTTTTTTTTTGAGGACACAGTCCAATTCAAGACACTAAGGCAGAGATAACCACTCCAGAGTGGCATCAAATGCTTAGAGGAAAATGCCTCCGGCTTCCGCTTAGGTAAAGGAATTCTGTTCGCCATATCTTTTGAATGGATGTCCCACAATTTGTTTATATAGTCACTTAATGAAGTGCTTATTGGTTTCTCCCATTTTTTGGCGATTATAAAGAAGTATCTGCAGATGATTGTATACAATTGTTGAGTTGTTGTTGTTGTTGTTGTTATGTGTCATCAAGTCGCCTGCAACCCATAGTGACCTTTTGAAGAGCACCTCTGAAGCCTGGCCTGTCCTGAGCCAGTCGTACTAATTTCAACATACCAACCCCCATTGTCCCAGTTACTGTGTTAATCCATGTCATCCCAGTCTTCCTCTCCTGTGCTATCCCACCAACACTTCTGAACATGTTGTGCTTCTCCCAGGACTGGTCCCTCTTGGCCATGTGCTCAAAGTACGTGAGATGGACCACAATTTAAAGGCATCAGTTCTTCTGCTGTCATCCTTGGTCATTGTCCAGCGAAGTGTTGAGTAGGTATTAGTTTTTCATATCATTTTGGTAAATACTCAGAAACATAATTTATG